TATTCGTCTTTTGTTTCAATCGGTTTCATCCTATATATTGTTAAAAACTAACGCCCCAAAGAGAGAAATAAAAACACGATATCCCGATCGGTCCAGCGGATATGATCAACATTTTAGTCTAGCTTGCTTTTCATTTCCGAAAACTCACGTTCGTTAGAGTGAATTAAGGCTAGTTAGTATAAGAAGAGAACGAATAGTGACCGGTGATCTGGAAAAAACGGTAAACTACGCATATAGGTAATTCTTTTTTACTAATTTGATATGTTGATCTTTTCAACATCAGTTGTGTGAGCATACGAGAGAGTTGTTAAATGCACAGACCAGATACATGTTTTCTGTCGTTCTTTGATTGCTCTTAACCTGAATTGCATACAACGATAACAACAGCAGCCACCTTGAATGTATTGTGTATTGTATCGTCGATTCAGATATTTGCTGTTCTTCGAGATTGTTTAGGTAACACCGGATTCAGTTAAACGTTCACAGAGCATAATTCAACTTCAACTGGGGAATGTGTTTCTCCTTGTTCGAACTCACTCTCGCGTTGGCGCGCTTCTCATGAATCTCCCGTAACAAATCTTCTCGTTTTTGTTGAAGGTCCAACATCTGGAATGGATATCAAACCGTGGGGAATAAGAATAGTGATAACTAAGAGCAATTCGATACATTTATGTTTGCGTGAGCTCATTGTCGTCCTCCCCCACCTTGAATGAGCACAAAACAATAAGCCACTGTGTTGGTGACCCAATGCTAAACCGACTGGAATAATCCCGTTTCGAATAGCAAAGCGTTTTCATGACGTGAAGAATACGTCATTAACATGTAATCAGATCCGTCCTAGAGAAGAACGGGACATAAAGGGAAACAAATCATACACTTAATCCTCTTGAGCAATAACATTTCACAAGACGACATGAGTTATCGTAACTAACTGAGAAATAATTACTCTTTTTGTGTTCGAAACCATTTGTCATGGGAAATGTTTTTGTGCGCGAACGACCTATAAACAGACAGAGCAAACGTTTTGTTCGTTTCCTTTTGTTCTCTCAAAATATAACCCTCCTGTGAATTAAGCTAAAAAAGCTGTCTGAGTGCACATATTGGAAATAAGGTGTTAGCTTAGGCGGTGGTTTTCAAGCTGTATAGATCACTAACTTATTTCATCGGAGGACGTGTGTTCGGATGCAACCATATCCACTTTACTTTCCACAGTTTCCTTGTGTTGTATGGCAGCCGTCTGATTAGCCACTTCCCTTTTCCAAAAAGGTGTATATTCAATATCATCATCGACGCTCAATGCTCGACTACATTAGAACTGCTATTCACCTGAAAATATTAGAATATCCCCATAATTTCCAACAACCAACTTTAGCGTGCTTCATTAATTTTCACGCTGCCTTTTACCACCTCAATAAACGATTACCTTGGAGTACATTGTATGCCGATGGAATGTGCGTGAGGTGTACAATAAGCTGAAAGCTAATATAACTGCGAGTGCGAGTCCGCGCCTAAAGAGAAGATTTGACAGTGTATGCGATGTGTGTCACCGTAGTCTGCTACCCATTTCAGCCAACCTATATACCGGATAAAGCTTCGGGCTCTTACCAATTTTCAGAAAGCTCAAATCAGTAACGAAACCTATATTGCTGACCCAAAATTTGCTGACAAAACTGTCATTTTAGGAGAAGCCCCTGTCAATCTGTAGATAATGACTGATCGTAATAAAAGTGGAGCCATTTCGTTGTTCTGGCGATAAACACAGAAATAGGAATTTCTTCACAACACCCTGGATCGGTCACGCCCCTTTCCACGTCAACGGTGAAACATATGAACAGGTATTTCATTCCTGGCGACTTAGATATACTATCCAGCCAAATGATCGGGCCACATACGTGGTCAAGATTCATAAATATTGCTCCAGAAGATCAGCCAGCAATTTTACAAGATCTCGCGTCCGTACCGCAAAATAAGCCTCGAGGCAAAACTTCAGATGTATCGAGGCACTGCTCAGCCTTTCATTGTATATGCTTTCAAGAAGTGAATACTGATAATAGATCATACACAAAACTGGAAATGTTTGACCATTGCAGCATACGATGCATGGCTAAAATGAAGCGGAACGAACGTGAATCACACAACACTGTCCGTCACCATTACGAGGATACAGAGAAGCTATTCTTGTTTCTCTAACGATCATCTTCAACGGTTTTGTCATGTCCTTTGCCCGTCAGAAGCTGAAATCTCACGAAGAGTTGTATCCCCCATATCTTTTCCAAATTAGAAACTTCGCCTCGAGGACCAGCTAAATACTATATTAGGTCATTACAATCAAATCGGTATAGATGACCGAGGACTTCTGTTGCTTTTTGGAGTGTGTGACTAGCGGAGCAAATGGAGATCGTAGTACGCTAACGTTGCATGAATAGGTACTATCAAAGACACCTGAAACGCCGACTTGTCCACACGAAGGAGGTGGAGGCTTGAATTTAACGGTGAACATATAACTGCATCTAACATTTAGCGAGAAAATGATGCTTTCACAATCCGAAGATACCCGAGTTCACACAGATCTCTCCTTGCCGTTGTTATATCTTGCACGAATTCTTGTTTTTTCACTTTTGAAGAGATTATATCCTACTTATCTGTGAATGTTAAACCATTCCATAGAGTACGTTGGTTGGGATTTACGCATGTCATCAGATAGGTTGCCACGGCGAGTGATGTTCGCCGAGACAGGCAGTGGGTGGAATAAAGCCAAGGGTAGTCAACCTAAAACCTGGCACGGGGGTATGAAAACCCCAGCCAGGAGACTGGGTCACATAGATCCCGTTAGGCTCCCTGGATAGGGATCTCGCGATAATTGTAACCGATGGTTAGAGATGCTGTGTAATATGGCTGAGTGCCGTAAACAAAAGCGTTCATGCCTCTTCTCAGTTTGTTTCAACATTAGTTGACTGAAATTCTTCATTTTCTGTTCGATCATACTTTCACCTTTCCCGTCTTTCTCTTACTGTTAATTCAAATGGGCAGCCACAAGACAGCCACCAAAACCGGCGCACGAAGGTGCATGGTTAGTGGTTGCATAAAGTGAAACTGAAACTGAAATTCCACATGCAGGTTTCTTTGATTGGTGGACGCTTGATTGTTCTCAACTGTCATTCATGAATGGACTGATACTATCGAGATAAAAACACAATAATAGAGAAATTGAAATACAGAAGACAAACTCCTGCGAAAGTCTATTCGTTTCCTGATTGAACAACCATGGAACAAATAGAACCAAGTAGTTTGATTTTACCAGTTTGAAGGACTATACACCTTTTTTGGTTTGTTGTAATTCTTTGAGACAACCATAATGCTTCATTGTTTGACATTCTAATTGAAGAAAAACGTTGTAAGTTAGATTCCCAGTTATAGAGATTGTAAGAACATAATTTTACTCCGATGATGGTAGTTACTTCACGTTTGCAATGTATTGCACTGAATCTGTTGGGGGGTTTCTGCTGTTTATCAAGTAGACGTGTGATCTTGAGGAACCAATTTGATTGAGTTAAACGAAATCTAGGGTATTATCATTTTGATTTATGCTAGCAAACTGTCGATGTCAGAGTAATGTGAAACTCCTCAAATACCTTGCTTTGTCGCTCATGTTTCGTTCAAAAGATATGTTCATAATTCGTAGGCTTTGCGCTTTAAGTGTCATTCAAGTCAAGGATCACGGATAGACACGTGCGCCTGCCCCGAATTACAGATGTTTGTTGTCATAATATACATGATTATTACTTTGTGACACGGTCATCACTTTGGAAAGGAATTGCACAAACAAACAACTCACTTTTTTTCGTTCTTTCCAAGCCTTGACTTTGGCTGCATTTTCCGCTTTTTTGGCTNTTTGGCTACTCGTTTTCGCCAGTGTTCCAATCGTAAAGGCAACAAACGGGCAACCACTTCTTCCGATTCCACATTGAACACAATCACCAGTTCGGGAATGAGATTCAAATTTACCATAAACTGTAACTGTTCCCCAGACAATGGGAATCCTTCCAATATAAAACCTCGGCTACGATACGGTTCCTGGGTCCAGTATTTGCTCAGAATCCATTCCAATGTGTTATCGGGGATTGGAGTTGCATTCAAAAGAAATTCGACTATATTGTTTTCATGTTCCGTCAAAGACTCTTTCTCGATTGGAGGGGGTGTTGCTGCGGCAGCTGGTTGCATTACTTCCGGTTCCCAATTCATTGTTGATGGTGTATCCCCTTCTATCAGACTGAATAAACAGAGAGTAGTTTCCATGTTACTATGGTCTGACCAGTCGACACAACGGAACGGAAATTTGAGTACCACTGTTTTCAACACAAAAACAAAATCCTCCATGGTTTCGGTCACAAAACCATATCAGGTAGATTGCAAGCCCCACTAAAAAGTGCTAATGCATTACCACACAGCACCTGCCTCGCTGTTTAATTCTATGCAATTAGCTACCTTTTTAGAAAGGTAACCATTTGTTCGTGGTGGGATTAGTGGTCGACCTAGAAAAATATACAAGGAGAGTTTTTAGCAATGGCAGCGTGTGGTTTCAGACCGTGTACACTTCCGGTAGATTTGAATTTGTTTATCAGCGCTTTGGAATCGTTTCTGGTGACCCTCATTGCACAAGCGTTGTTGAATTCCTTCGCCGTCAACGAAAGATTCTCCTTGTTCCTGTAGTATACCGCAATCAACGCCAAACGCTCGTCGGTCGACAGACGGTGAGTAAGTGAGCAAACCATGATAAAAAACCAATGTAATGACCGTCTGCTCACGATCCTGCCCTTATATATCACACCTAATGGCCGTTATCCTCAAGTAGAAGTACATCATTCAAACACAGTAAGCGGCGCATTAGCCCCTGGTTACGATTACCTTTGGTCACTGATCTGTCTAATTTCGTCATTGCTCTGAGTAGTACTGCTACGGTTCGCGTTCAACCATTCGCACAGGCTTGTGGTTGCCAATAATCCTGAGCACCGACTAGAATTTTGCTAATGGTACGTGATACACTTGGATGCATCACATTAATCAAGAAAACAGAAAAAAAGTAGATAACGTCTCCGTTTCTATGCATGTGTATGGATACTATGGACAATACATCAAGGGGTGTGTGAGAGTTCAAATCATTCTGCAAATGTCACTTGTACTATCAGATGGATCAGATACACAGAGAATTTGACACTCAGTTCATAACCGGCTTTAGATCGCACTAGGGTAAATCGAGAGCTCTAACTGAGTGTTTTGTAGCACACAAAGAGGGTTCAATGGAATCGTGATCACTTCGGCTGTTGACAGTAGGCGATGCTTCACCTGCTTCGATCTCACCCCGTTAATCGTGTAGATGGCTCTGGCCGCTTCACTCATTCTGGGATGATGTTTGGATTCTACCAAATGAACCGTGATCGCCGTCCTTCAGTTCTCGTCAATCTGCGACTAAGCCACTTGGGATGGCGTCCTCGAATGCTTTCGGGCGGTCGGGCGGTCCAGCCAATACAAGGGACCTGGTGCTTGCCCAACTAACCCGAGCGAGAAACCACACCTTATTTACAGCTGTGAGTGAGTCTTAGGTAAGCCCAGTGAACCTCCACTGTACATCAAGGGTGCCATCAGCACACGGATGGACTGGACGTGACAACAAGAGCATTACAAAAAATACACGCCGGTAAACAGACCGTCTCGTGTTGGGGTGAGGGATTTCAAGTGCCGCAAATCGCGGAATATGATCCAATCAGATCATAGTAAGGGTCAAAGGGAATTTTCTAGTTCAAGGTCAGGGGTGAGAAGGACGAGACGATGTGAAACGATGGTTCAGATCATTCTGTAATTCATTGTGCATTCGAGAACACCACTCCAGTTGGTTTAGTAGCGGATTGACCAGAACCGGGGGAACGGCAATCACCGCTCATTTGATCGAATGCGAACATCGTGTCAAAATGAGCGAGTTAAGCACTATTCCTTGGGCCGTTGAAAACCCAAGAAACTGTTGAATCCAAATCGCTTCATAGTCCCAAAGTGCTAGTATGGACTGGTATTGTGCACGGCAGGATTGTCGGGCCGTACTTTTTCAATGGAAACGTAACAGGTTAGAACAATTTTGCCTATTAAATTGTTTAAGGCGCTTCATACTTGCAAATGTTACAAGATAATGTGGTACCTGCCATTCGGCCTATATAAACTGAAGTTGGTACTGGTGCATTAAAACAACAGCCAAGGGGTGGAGTCGTCAGCCGACCGTACACAAACAATGTCTTCGTTCTGTATGAACGTTCTGATGAACGAATGTCTCGTACTCTGAATCCACTATGAAAAATGAGAATTGTTGAACAGACGTCATACATGAACACTGAGGTGTCTGTTCATCGCTGTACCAATCTTTTATGATATCGATCATATGCGTTTGACATTTGTGCGTTGTCCTATAACTTCCCTGAGGAATATTTCGGTGTTTAGGGAATACTGGAATACAACATAATTTCTATGGTTAATTTGTCGCAGTCAATCATGTCGAATCTCTAATCTGGAAAATTTGCATTGTGCGAGTCCCAATTTGTTTGATTGCAGAGGTTCTCTTCGAGTTTTCATGGTTGCTTATATCGATCAGATTGTGTTCGAAAAAGTTTTCAACCAAATTCAAACGGAGAATGGACGGGAGTTGCAGACAGAAACTTATGCATTTCCTCTGGTGGGCGTTAAACAGAGATCTGGCAGACCTGTTTTATTCATTTTTGACTAATATCTTTCATCTTGCATTTTAATCCGGCTTTTCCCTATCCGATTACCGTGACTTGATAGCTTGTGGTCTACGCAACATTTTGTACAGAAATTCATTCAACTTCAGCCTAGGCCTTGTATTATTTTATTGACGAGTTGAACCACGTAAATGCCTGAAGCCGCAACAAGGGACATGGCTTTGGCTCAACTAAACTGAGTGAAAAACCACACCTTGACTACAGCCGTGAGTTTTAGGTAGGCCCAGTGAACTTGGACTGTGCAGCAGGTGTGCCATCAGCACACGGATGGACCGGACGTGACGTTATAAAACGTACAAGCTGATAATCAGACACTCTCGTGCTGGGGTGAGACATTCCAAGTGCCACAGATCGCGGACTATGATCAGATCACAGAAAGGGTAAGAAAGAATGTACTTGTTTAAGGTCACAGATGAAAGGGACGAGACGATGGAGCAATCGCACTGTATTGCAACATCATGCGATGGAGGTAAGCAATGACTCAAGCGTTGATCGTGCATGATTCATTGGTATTAGCGGTGGGGGACAAAGAGAGGCATACGTGTACCAGCAAGATAAACAAGCGATACGTATACCATGAGAATTGAGGTGTGTGCGACCGAAGCCCGTTGCACAATCGTCCCTCGCACTTCAACGGGACGTAGAGAAATCGGTGCTGCATGGTGGTCATCTAGACATCGCTGTGAGGCTTGTCAGCACCGGTGGGGTCAACGCGACAGCTTGAGATGACCCGAGGACATGTTGAAAGGGTACTGGGACAACTTGAAATAATCGCCAGATATCTTGAAATAATCCGAGGACATCTTGATATGATATTGGGACAACTTGACTTGAACAAGGTATAGACAGTCCGAAAGTGTTGTTGTCTGTAATGTTCTGGATGATTTGATGTGCAAATTGAACTTTTGATCTGTCTCGTGCGATTGCATAACTAACCACGTCAGGTTGAAGTTGAATTATGCTCTGTGAACGTTTAACTGAATCCGGTGTTACCTAAACAATCTCGAAGAACAGCAAATATCTGAATCGACGATACAATACACAATACATTCAAGGTGGCTGCTGTTGTTATCGTTGTATGCAATTCAGGTTAAGAGCAATCAAAGAACGACAGAAAACATGTATCTGGTCTGTGCATTTAACAACTCTCTCGTATGCTCACACAACTGATGTTGAAAAGATCAACATATCAAATTAGTAAAAAAGAATTACCTATATGCGTAGTTTACCGTTTTTTCCAGATCACCGGTCACTATTCGTTCTCTTCTTATACTAACTAGCCTTAATTCACTCTAACGAAGGCAATCATATAGGCGCAGAACATATTTGTCACCGGGCCAGGTTTATCGTTTCTGTCCGATGAAATGTCGGTGCGATTGCCTCAGTTATCCGTGTCCTTCGGTAGTCCAAAACTCATGTAGATCACCTCCGTGATCATTATGATACTGGGTTATTTATTTGCATAATTCGATCACTTGTGAAGAATAGTGGTATGGTATGAAATAGTTTAAACCAATGTGCATCCGTGTCAACTTTGAGAAAAATCATTGGGAATTCAAGTTGCACCGAAAGAGAGAAAGAACGAAGTATCCCAACACTGTACATCCAGTCAACCGGACAAAGATCAAAAGCACTAGTATCTTAGACATTCATACCAGGATTCTTTGATTCAGAAGTTTCTTGAAATCAATCACAAAGAAGTAGAGAAACAAAAAGTGCCGGAAAGTCACTGTCTAACAACGTGAGAGATCAAAATAAACACTAAAAGTATTCTCCCGCTCTTCTTCACCCAACTGAATCTGAGCGCATTTTGATCGAAATGGCTCTTTATAAAGTGATAGAATTGAACAACTCATCCGTTCTATGGACAGATTGTTAATTTTTAGAAAGTGCAGGAACTCACGGTGGGAGTATCACATCTGGGATCGGTTGTTGATCCTCGTATTCTTTCCCCAGTTTCCTTCCTACTTTTGGCAGTATAATTTCTTGAAGAATACAATCAAAGTTCACATAGAACACATCCAGTGTGGAGGCTATTTGGAGACCGTGTAAAGTTTTGCCACTTCCGTTCGGACCAATTAGGATTATTCGGGGAGCAGGAATCTAGGAGAAAATGAAAACATAATGTGTGTGCTGGATGAGCAACAAGAGAGGAAAAGCCCTGTCAGGAGAGAATCATTCTAGTGTGAACACTCAATAATAAACAAGTTTCACGTGATTTCCGGTGATAAAACCAATCCAATTCACGTACGTTTTCAAGTTTTCATATACAGAACAGTTATCGATTCTTTTTTTCTATCCACAGTTCCTTTTGTAAATCGATTCAATGATTTTCATTAGAAAAACGTGGCTGTGGTTGATTAATAGATCTGCTTATTCCGCCGACGAAAATCGCCAGTTCAAACTCGCGTACGCGATGCACTGAATAAAGCGAAATTATTGATTGTTGAAAGCGATGTAAACGTCTATTGAGAGTTGCAACATAGGAACCAGTGAGACAGTTACGTATTAAAATATTCTGCAGGGCCGTTTAGAGTGCTTCAAACTCATTTAACCGCAGAGGTAAATTCAAGTGCTGAAGTTCATCCTATTGGGTGCATAAAGCTCAATTTTACTCAAATTGAACTTTAAGCAATGGCTTTGAATCAGTTTATCCCTAAAATAATTTACGCTTCGTAGAACCACTGTTTGTAAATCAAATCAAGAAAAGTATTGCTGAGAAGAATATCCAAGCCAAATTTATGGAAATGGTGCCCTAGTTTTGCGAACACCGGGCTGTTTTGTCACCATCAAACCAGTTCCTTAGAAAATTGGAGTCACTGAACAGACTATGACATCTATCACATTTTACTGAAACTATAAGGTAAATAAAGGGATAGGTAGAACTGAATCAATCCACCTGTGTATATGATGAAAGCAAAAAGCCATAATTTGAACGAAGTGTTGTTCTACAGCTAATGCAAATCGCCATGGATGAGTCTCCATTTTAAACCGACATGATCACGTTTTCGTTTCCAGATGCACACAGAAATTAAATTTAAAACGAGCATAGATTCAGATACAACTTCGTTGGCAAAACATGGCGTGAGAAAAACTGCAAACACTTAGTGCTACTCATGCAGTGTGTGCTGTGATATGGAGGTTTAGTGCGTCAGGGCTTATTAGTCCCAAGGTGCTGAACTCTACTTTGGTATGGTAAGACGATATTCCCTACTTCAACCCACAGACTGCTTCTTCGCATTTTTATAACTACCGCTGTCCACCTCCACGCCCCGGGACTGTTCGGGGCTGAGTGGAATGAAAATTTATGATAATTCATCGAATTATGAATAGAAATACATGATATGTTCAACATGGTGCATTGAATAAACGCTTAGAATTCGTTTTAACTGACAGAAATAACACTTGTATTATATTTGTGAAAATTTCCGAAAGTGAATGGCAGGGACAACGCAGAACACTTTCAAGTGTGTACTAAGTAAAATGAATTACGTTGTTCTCTTTGTGGTCACCTGTGGATCGGAGCGGTTCAATTATTTAATTGATCAGGCTCGAAGAGGAGAAGGGAAAGTGTCGAGGAATTTTCATCTCATCAATACACCTTGTTCTATGGATTTTGAAAGGTCATTTCGGGTCACCCGAAACGTTTTCATTGAATGAACTGAGTTAAATGATACGGACTAATTTTTATTCAGATGAGGCCAACACCGTTCGTACCCATCACCACCACCACCACCATCATCACCCTCCCCTCCCCGTATGTGGAATAAAAACAAAAAGCTATGTCTTGACAACCTAAAACAAACTAGTTGTGTAAAAATAGGTCATTCTGCCCACGCTATCCGGGTCGCATTACCGATAATTGATTCATCTCTCTCGCTCTCTCTCTCTCTCTGCCCACCATGCTTGAATGTATAGATTGGCCATTATTCAGTAAAGTCAAAGCGAATCACATGTGGCCCGCGATGCAAGCAAAGAACTGGATTCAGGTCGAGAACACGCGCGAATAGTCCTAGTTGCTGTTCCAGTTCAAACCGAACTGCGTGTAAGTTGTTCAGTGGAATTCATCGTGTGAAGCTGGATTTGTTCTAATTAAAAGTGCGGTGGGTGTGCACCGATCCAACCGAGCACAACTTCATTTCATTTCGGTGAGTTTTTTGGTGATCAAAGCTGTCTAATATGATTTAGTCACACACGCACACACACACACACACATTCACCTAAGCGAATTCCGCCGACCGTGTCCGCAAACAGGTGATTATTCGCAGATGTGTCGTGAATATGCTCAATTACTTTTCCTTCCGGTATCCGGGGCAGCAAACGATGCAACCCGCTAATATTGCTGTTATTGTTATCGAAGAGGTCTGTGAATTTCTTGGGCTTCTCATAATTCTCCTGACTTCCACGCTCAGCATTCAACAACTGTATCGAATTCAATTCATTCACATGTGGAAAATGACTAACTATGCCAGTTTATGCTAGTTTCGTGCATCACAATGCAAGTCCAATAAACTACCGATCTTCGTGTCCGGTCATTATGTGGTGTATTTGAGAAACTCTTTCTAAACAAATGCTGGTTTTGACTAAAGTTTGATCGGAAAAGCTGTGGTCAGTAGACTTTACGCATGAACCTTGTTTCTCCCTCACTCTCTCTCTCATATATGGACTGTTTCTCGCCGGTGAAATTTGCCGCTCAAAGGGTAGTCAAGCAAGATCATAGAAGAAGACACTAACCAACCCTGATTGATATCTTATATGTCTACAACGAGTTAACTTAAATCAAACCGGAGCAACCAAAATATTCAAATCTCCTGGAATTACCAAATAGTATTTAGTAAATTAACCGGTCGTCTGCGTTTCGCGAAATCGGATGTTTTAATTGTTCCTCACACTTTTTCGCCTATCGAACGGAACATCATTTGACCTCGGTGTTAGACGAGCAACCACTAGGTTCTTCTGGGTAAAAAACGGATTTTTGGAAGCTGTATGGTGACATCTATGCACCGCTACAAATTACTCATCGCATTATGTTCGTGTTAAGGTGGAGCGCAAATCGCGATCAAAAGCAAACGGCGCTGAACGTTTTACTGTAACATATGGTTTTATACTGTTTCTTCTTGATTTAGTAAACCTCGGCCTCTGTTGCCATTCGGTGTAGATCATACAACAACGTGAGAATAGATTATTATGTCAGCCTTTGTACAAACATGGTATTAAATGGTTCTGAGTGTCTTCCCCCAATTGCAATCCAACAACGGCAAATGGAAGTTTGTCAATACTAGTCCCCTTAAAGTATACCCTGATAAATGAAGGATGGCAAATAACACACCAGTGACGAAGTGATAAATGGGCTCCACATGACCTACGTAATATATGCGGGAGATATATATATCTTTCTATCTTTCCCATTTTTGCTTTCATTTATTGAATGTAAAGAGGGTGGGGAAGCGGCCAATCAAAGAACTGCCGTGCAACACATGTAATAATTCCACAAGACGATGCTGGTCGAGGATAGTCGTTTATCAGAGATCTCAGATAGGATATCAGCAATTTGTAATACATTACACACAATATCTCATCAGAAAAATACCTTCGCCCTTCCTGGCGGCACATGGAATAATACATAGGGCAGTCGGTCGTTATTCTTTCAGACACATCACGTGGCCCTCGGTGGTCTTGTTACACTTTTGATCATTGAAAGTTACATACTACTCACAAGTGAGTAGTATCTCACAACACACACAATGGGAAAAGTCAGGCGGCGGTGATGGGATTCGATGATTTAGAGACGTTACCACTGGGCCACCACCTCCGGTAATGTTAACACACCAGTTTTTTTTCGTCACTCACGCAAGAAGTATGATGTTAATATACCTCTGATGAACGTTAATTTTTCACCGCTCATCACAAGTATAAACCTGTCACAGTTGGTTTTGAAGCATTCAATCAAGCAGGTAAACCAAACGCTAGCGGGCAGAATTATCCACCCTAAACCAGTACTCGAATATGTGAATATTCTTCTTGGTTTACAGTATTAGTTCGCAATCAGTGATTTGAATCTTTTATACCAAACCGATGACGCAACAGTTTCTAATTTGTCGTTCATTGCTTTCGTAAGCCACCTCGGGATGTGTACAGATGTTCAGTGACGTAACTGTCGCTCTGACCTGCTTATGTAAATGGCTGGGCATTGACACTAGAACTGGTAATTGCAGTTTCATATAATGTAAGTCGTTAGAATCTGGGTGATAATAAAATATTGGTAGGATCCACTGTGTAGTACACATGTTTGGTCGCAGAGTTTGAGCGCTTCTTGACCAACAGGTTCAGTTTCAGTTTTTACAACCATTAGACATGCACTTTCGTGTGCCGGTTTCGGTCGCTGTCTTTTGGTACTAATATCTACACCCCAAAATCGTGCAAGCTGTGTTCACTGCCTGAGTTCGCTTCAGATATCTATACTACTTTCTACACGTATATCCCTATAAAGAAAAAGCGTAATTCTGTATCTGGCTTGTCGCTTGGTTAATCGTACGAGAATCTTACGATATCCGTCTACAGGAAAGACTCATATGCTAGATTTTTTATTGCACTACAGTGTCGAATTTGTTATTTTTCAAAGTTATTATATACATACATATATACATATATATAAAGCAATCATAGAATTGACTTGGCCCATTCCACAGACCCGACAGCTATCGAACCGGAACAGAAGAACTGGAAACCCAAGTTGCCATCTGAGTTGCATGTGAGAGGTTCTTGTGTGAGGCATCGTTACTTAAGCGTACTACAGCTATCAAAAAGAAAAATGAACACGTTATTCTTTCATTCAACGAACAGGTATGATAAATTTCCTCTAAACGGGACTGACCTAATCTCACATTTTGGAATTCGAAAGTAAAGGCGTCTTGTAATTGACCGTTTTGCTAAAGATCATTAGGGGAAAGTTTGTTCCCTCCACGTTCATTAATATTCAACACTTTGTGCACAGAATCAAGATAGAAAACTGGGCGCGATGGTTAGTTGATACATAGATAGTAGTGTTTCTGACTCACAGTCCCAGCTCCCATCAAAACTTCATTATTTTTATTAAGAACTGGTTAAGACCAAGCGGAATAAAACCTGTTTTTACTCTCTTATATGAAGTCGGATCGTATCCACTGAAACTTTTCAGGCCATATTCAATACACCTCACAGTACTGAGGAATAATGATCATAGTAGGCGTAGACAAAAGTTATGAACCAGAATAGATAGCAGCATAAATGTGAGGCGAATGTTCAGTAAAATAAGGATGACATACACAGATTGACCACCATCTTTGTTGGTTTTTACAGGTGCCAGTTAGCAACCTTAGCTGATCATTAACAAAGCGCCGAACGAATTTGTGCCTAGACTTCATTCCTGTTTTTCGTTGCCCTGCATCATCTATTAGGATCAACTCCGAACAATTCACTTAACTTGCACAGACTTAAATTTTATACGCTGTCCAAATAAATGTTTTATTTGAGCTCAGTCTCACACGTATGTTTCTTGTACCGAATTGCGGCTCTCATATGATACAAAAAGAACGTAGAGAAAACGGGAACTTACACGCAATGGGTTTTCGGGATCGGATAGCACAGCATCCGGATTCTCCATAAATTGAGCTCGGGCTTCTTCGGATACGAAATAGTAGACTTGTCCCTCGTGAACTGCACCCGTGTCAGGATTGCCAGCGCGTAGCAAACCGCAGTCGTGCAATGTGACTGGACAAAAGTAACTAGTCAAACCCAATCGTTTGTCCATATTTCGACTGGGATCCACCTCCTAGAATGAGGGGAAAATTTAATCTAGGCAAAACCAAATTGTAACAATTCATCACCAAATAATGAAACTTAAGGAACAAGCTCCTGTTCTGTCATTTTCATGGCGAAAACTGACTCATTCTATGGGTGGATATAATCGGGTAAGTGTATAGTGAGTAGGTTCATTAGGCATCGTTTGGAGATCCTTAAGTTTCGCAGAACTCAGAGACTGGGACTTGGAGTATCATTTGATTCAAACCGTTTTATCACCTTTCACAGGTCAGTAACATGAAACTTTATTCAGGAACCCTTTAGGAATCTATTTTAAACTCCATTTTTAAATAACATTGTCTAACTTTATTATTCAAACCAACAGAGTCAATTCAACAAAGTGATCTCGTTATTTTGGCTTATTTTAACTCTTCAGCAGTCTTTGTGTCTTCATTATTTATTCGCAGTTCAAGAAAATCTCATTTCATAACGTTTGATTCAAATAATCCTTATGATCATAGTCGTTACGTGGGAACCTCTGCAATTTTCATCTGGATAATCCGATGATGTGTTTATTTCGGACTATTCTTAAACCGCATAAATATATTTAAATGCCTAAAATCCTTGCAAATCAAATAGCATCTCTTTCGTGGATAATTCAACCTCTTTATATGAGTAAGGTGAGCGCCGTCAAAATTTGAGATCTATCAATCTAATCCCTTTGAAGGTGTATCCAAATCAGACTGTATGTGGGTCAATCAAAACCTTAGAAACAGACAATTTTCGTAGTCTTCCCAGAGGATTTCTCACTGACACAATAATCATCAATAATGCATAAATAAAACAGCATCGTGTGATCCAAATATGTGACACCAATTACAATGTTTTGATCCGATTCGCAGATGAGGACGATGGAGGATCGACTACTGACCGCTGATGACCCTTATGGTACGGGAAAGAATTAGGTTCTATCGATTAACAGTCTCGATGTCAGGCAAAGTCAAGCGAAATTTCACAAACACTGCTACGCTCACAAAGTGTGCGGAGTATCGGGTAGATAGAAAGAATGAGCTATTGTTTCAACAGAGAGAGGGCGAGGAGGAAAACAAACTTATGTTTTCAGCAGGCGCATCGCACAAACCAACTGCACATTCACAATTCCCAAAGCAGCTCTAAATGATGAGGAGTACAATCAAACAACGTCCGTTTATTTCATTCACTGCCATGTTTTTGCGTGTAATCCACCCACTGGTTACGAGGTTTATTTGAATACCAACCGGTAATTATTCCAATGCAACGTTAATCTTTCCCAATCCGAGTATTCCTTGGATCCCTCGGTCATCACCCATCACAGACAAACCACTCACGTGACACCTGATGCAAGCGAGCTGCGGAATGATTTGAGCTCTCATCACACCTCCCTCCTTTCAAAAGAATGAAATCGATCGCACCACTGCTGACTCATAATTTCGATTCTTGAGGTTGACGATCAGCCTGCGTATTGGAGCTCGAGTTCCAGTTGAGTGTCGCCGGTCAGTTTGATTAGGTGCTTTGATTTCGCTGCTAAAATCTGCGGGACTCGTGTTCGTAATCTAGTGGTCTATTAGCAAATCCATGGGTGTGTGTTTCGTGTGAGTGTTTCGTTGGGTCTTGTCCCCCGGTTCAAGGTCCGAGGTGGTTGTTCTGTCTTGTCCATACGAAGTGTCCCACTCTGATTTTATATGTGACTGATCCATCTCGATTTACAATCTCTCCGGGAATCCATCTAAACCATCCATTTCGAAAATTGCTTAGATAAACATGATCTCCTTTCTTAAAATTTCTCAATCTGAGAGTAGCATTTTTACGGCGTGTGATTCTGCACTATCTTGCACGGTCGGAATCATGGCATCAAGACCCAGTAGCACTAGTCGACCGAGAAACAGTTTGGCCGGGGATTTCTGTCCTGAGGTAGCTGGGTATTCTCACTGACACTGTGAAGATCCGCAACGAACAAATTTTAAACCTACAAAGATGAACAACTGTTTAAGTTGTATCATTATTGTATGTGAGTCATCGTTTCATTTTTTATCCCATTGTAACGATGAACACGTTGTTTGACGGAAATATAGATACAGTTGCCTGCACAAGTCAGTTACAATACAATAAATTAAGGGACAGATGACTAAGCCCATGCTTGAACTGATTAGACCAGGTGTCGAGCATATCAACAATGGAATGACAAGTTCCAATCCGGTAGCCTTAAAATAACCGATACATCAATGGTTTTCAGCTCTCCAGGTGATGTAAACAGGCACATATTAGGAAAGATTCACGTGAATGTTCATCCATCATTTTATCATCCTTTATTATTTTTTATTTGTGTAAGTAACTGAAGCTTAATATCACTGATGTACGGATGTTCTATTACATACGTGGTACCCTACTTTGATTTAACCGATAAAGGTTTGCTCAAGGTTTGCTTATATATATATATATGTATGTATTAACAGATATAGTACCAAAACAACTATGGGTTGAAAAGAAATGCATTTGTTTTGTGAATACACCGAAGGTTGGTGGGCGAATCCTGCTAGGGTGATTAGATCTTTTGACCTGATAAAACCCATGCTGTTCAGCTCTTTAGGTCATATAGGTAAAAGCCATCATATCAAGTCAAGATGCAGTTCCTTCGTGTTGTATACACAGGGGAGCATAGACACCTATGTTGTTTATTCTTGATTGCACAATGTGATGGACAAATGCGATTGGGTGAACTGGATCACAATTTTTTTAGTAGCTGGTGGTGTGAAAGGTAAACAGTAAGATTTCACTCGGTGGTCAAATTGCAAAGCTCTGTGATGAAACTAGTTGGTCATGGACGCATGCATCATAATTAAATTACAAGAAAACTGCTGGTATATCGAGCCCATCGGAAATTCGAAAAAAGTGATTAAATTGCGGAAGCTGCCATGTTAGTGAGTGGTAAATGCTTTTAGTGGTGTGAAAAGCCAGCTGGGATATTTTTGAACAGTATACAGGCTGGATGACAACTAATTTACTTCCGTTACTTGTTTCCATTATTTGTTATTACTTGCTGTTTCATTTGAGGAAAAGTTAACTTTACAGTCTCATTTAGTCTTTGTGCATCGATTTCCTCGGTTTAACATGAGAACAGTGCACTCAGCAGTCAGCCTTTTTCACTTCCAAATGTACAACTATCCAGAAACTACTTATCTTTCTTTGGGGCAAGTTTTCTAACCCGATTACCGAATTTCAGCTTTAAATAAAGCCCCTTTCATTAGTAATATATGTATGACCATAAAACTAAGTACAATGCGTCCACCATGATACACAACGATTTTGGTTATAATGGAATCACAAAAATAGGACGAAGCTTACCATTCAGACTAATGCGTATATAGGTGATCTAATGCTTGATTCACTGGCAAAACTACATTTAAGAGGAACGTGAAACATCTGTTACTGGATTTACGCAGTACACTAACTTCTTTCCCAATCCCAAGCTCCCATTGTTCGTTGTGAAATGCATTCATGCTTTTCTCGTGAAAAGTGAGTACCCGAGTGCCTGAAGATATCCACTCATTCGTTCGTTGGTGAACACCGAAGTCGATCAATAAATACGTCGTGGCCATGGCTCGTCGATATCAGTGCTGTTGTTACATCCAACATCTTACCCTATCGCCCCACTTATCCGATGGGTGATTCACGATCATGGTTCACTCGTATGCACAGCTACGTTAGTGCGACAGAGTCGATCAACCGAATTTCACTCCTCTCGGCAAGAGTAATCTTACAGTCGTCAACACGCCCGTGACTTTGATGACCACTGTGACAAAAATGACAACAAAAGCACGTGTTCGGAACGACTGAATCTATGAAGGAAAACTAAAATTATTGAATAAACCACTTATTCAGTATCGAATTCTAAACAAAAGATATCTTCAAAATGATTCAATCGGATGGCATTTATCTTCTGCTGTCTGCATTATCGACTGAATCATTGTGGGTGTGAACCCAGATTTTATGAAAGTGCTGTTGACCAGTAGGTGTGGATGCACATACACGTAGGCTTTTTTAATCAGATGTATGAATGCTCATTTTGACTTTTATATCGGTTTTCTCCTCTCCTACCAAAGGCAAAACGTATTTCAGTAAACGTAACCGGGATGCACATTTGATCGACCAAATCACAACCTGGTCCATTGGTTGTAACACTGAAGAAAGGTTTGGAGGCGACCAAGCTAATTTGGCATTCGAGAAGACTGTGGCTTTATAGTGTCCTCGAGGAACCATTTTGCAGTTGATATCGGACATCGAACTCTGGGGAAACGTAGAAGCCATCCATTAACCTTTTAAGGATAATTATTGCAAGGTAGGATTTTGCCACTTATTCCACGGAGACATCGTGGAGTTTCCTGGAAATTCCGAGAAATTTCGCTACAGAGCCATGAGCTGCAGCTGGCTGATTCATCATTTCCAACACGTTATGTTTCTGTCTGATGGACAGGCACTTCCATAATGTCACTCCAAATGATACTGGCTTGGAGTGTTGTGTTTGTGTTTTCCTCACACCATATGAAACATAAATGGCTGAATGCAACATTGCATTTTGGTCGGTCAGTTGTCAATCCACACAGTGATGAACGATCAAGCGAGTAAGTATAAGGACCTGCAACATATATAGAGGAGGTGGGGTGGGTGGAACGTTGCATAATCAGGACCTATAACACTGTGTGTACGGTTGGTTTCGGTCTGCTAAAACGTGGGAACATATTGAACAGTGTGACATCACATGTGTGCTACACAGCAGGAGATTGACTGCAATGTACGGCTTCTGCCGGTCGGTCTTCCAGTTATTACAAATAAATTTCTTTCTCGCAGGCTGAAGCATGATGGCTGTCATCTTTTTGTGGGCGTAGTCTCAGAGAGATTCTCGGCTCCCTTTCAGTACTGTTATATTGAAAAGCTTTGGTTTTAAAATAAAAAATCTGCTTTTTTTCAAGATGTGATTATCCATGTCTCCCACGATCTGTTCTCATTCAGTTTGCACTGGCTTGCATTCCACCCAATTTTATCTACCGTCTTTCTGTTATTTTCCCTGGCGCTGCGTCGTAAAACTGCCTAGTCGTTCGCCGATTCCAAAGGTCCATGTTACGCGCATTTGGAATACCACACCCCATTTTAGTAGTGTTATATGTGGCAAGACACTTCAATTGCTTTTATCAGTTCTGTCACAATATTTTGTTTGAAAGCACTCAACCCACTCAGACTCGTATCAACTGAATGCCTGTCCACCTCGGCTATGCGAAACAACTGCATTCTTTTCCATGTTTGAAAAATACTTACCGTCAGTCTATCGTTCTTGACTTGAATGGGATAGTGATCTCAATACTGATCTCTCATGTATTCCACTGCTTGTATACCTCAAATAACATTCATGACGAAGAGTCCTTAGATACACTCAGGTTTTAGCAATACTCACCTCCTCCTCTTCTCCTTCTGCACCCTCATCCATAGCTTCTTCCTCGGGTTCTTCGGCCGCTTCCTCCTCCTCGCCACCCTCTTGCATTGCTTCGTCTTCATCCACTTCCTCCTCAAATGCGGCTGCATCTTCCTCTTCCTGTTCTTCCAGTTCGGCTTGACTTACTTCGACCGGCAATACGCGAAATGGTTCTGGAAAAATACGGGGAGATTTTCGAGAGGAACACTGTTTTCTTTGAGATCGACTCAAAATGACGTTCATTCTTTTACCGATTACCAGTTTGAATGAATAGACCAGTAGGAAACGGTTTTTAATTTAATTGATTCTTTAGAAAATCTGAAAATTTGCCAAAACTACGGCATTTACCACTTAGCAACCTTGCTGAACAATAATTAATTTACCAAATTAATCCATTTGACCAAATCTGTTTAAATCCATGTCAACTCACTTTCCAACACCTGGACAATTTCATCACGTAGCTGTTCGAAACTTTTGTTCACAATATTCACACTCAGTGCTTCATACCGTACTCCAAACTCGTTTGTCGTGTTTCGTAACAGATCACCTGTTTGAGCCCACTGCTTTTCGTATTCCTTCAATCGAGCCAAGGCAGCATCCGTCTGACGACCAGGAGGTGGTAGTGGATCAGGCTGCTCTTGTGGTGCAGCTTGAGAAGCGGGAGACGATTCAATATCTTCGGTCACTTCTTTGTCAGTAGACTCTTCCGAACTCGATTGTTTGAAAGCTGGATAATAATGAAAATGATAGAAAAAAAGTGAGAATAGATGTTCTAAATCATGTTCCATCGTCTTCAAAGTCGTAGACTGAACAGTTTCGTATGCAGTTATTCGCCAAGCTTGGCAGTCAGATTTCCGAATCCGGGGAACTATACTGGAGGAAAGTACGTATGTCAGGAAAGAAGAGAAATGATCGAAAAAGCTCTAAGCAACCTAGCTGAATAGTTCATATCATTTTAGAGCGAACAGAAGGATACCAGATGTACCCCATAAAGAAGACGCTTCGCATTGCTGAGCTGATTTTTGTTCGAAACCAAACATCCACCAACAGTTTCTTCTGCACCAGAACAGTTAGAAAAATGTGNCACTCACATTCGTCTTTGAGTTTAGGTTAATTGAACAATAGATATCAGCTTTCCATGCAGCCTGTTTCGACCAGGAGTTCAGTGTGACAATTCGAAGTTGATGACAGACAGTTATGCTTCAGAACAGTGTTACAAAGTGATGGTATCGCAACATTATTCACTTAAGATAAGCTCAATCGATACATGACAGATAGAATAAAAAGGCGGGAGTTTATGCATATTGGTAACTAAGCTAAACTGCAATTTAAATCAGCGAATAAACCAAAAGAGTGCAAGAGACCATGATAAAATGAATTAGGAAATTTAAGTTGTTTTTCTTGCTTCTGTTTTTTTTTATTCATTAGATGTTGAAATCCAGTGCCCCAGAAACAAGGATGAACTAATACAAAAAATTTGGTGAAACAAACAAAATAATTGCTATTCTCCTCATTCACCTGAACTGTCTAACCCTATTTTACATTGCTGTGCATCCCAAGGCCACCCATGTTTAGTTATTCTTGTTATTGCGTTGGCACCAAGCTTGGTCACAAGCCGGTGATATATATATATATATATTAGATGAACTTGTTATTTTTGGATCTGTTAGAACAGGAAATCCTTGAGCAAAGCTATACCAAAAACCATCAAAACAGTTAACATCATTGTTCACCTGGCATAAACGAGGGAAATCACCTAATTCAAAAGGATGATTGTCTTCGTATTGATGGTGTGCTATAGCTGGTCGATCCTATGTTACGCCCATAGAGAGTTGTAGGAGTCATGTTCATAGCTGAAAATTTTCAACAAAGGTCAATCGCTGACTCTGTGCGTTTTGTAAGTGCAGCTCATTCATTTCCAATCAAATTCAGTTTGTACAACCAATAACCATGTACTTCCGTGCGTCGGTTTTGGTTGATGCTCTTTGACTGTCCAATCGGATGAAGCAGTAGGAGAAATACATTAAAAAGAACATGAACGGATCTTTACCAAACGAAAAGAGAACCCAAGTCCGAAGGCCTTCGGACTTGTGTTCTGATGTTACAATGGGATTATTTCGGAATTTGAAAAGAGAACCCTCAACAAACTCGATAACATTTACTCATATTTATTGCAATAAATGAGAGGGAAAACAAAATTCAACTACTGTCAACTGACTTTACAGTGTCAAGCTTGGATTAACCTGTTCGATTGATCAGAGGCACCAGGCACTCTTCATTTTCTTGGGTGTGGGTTTCACTCCTTGGGAGATCGGTAATTCCCCACGAGATAATGCATTCAAATGCGATGGAAGTGTTTATGATAACCGACAAAAGGCACTGGACAAATGTTTCGTTATTAGTTTGGGACTCGTCAGCAGTGCGCATTTTTGGTGTCCTTGTCAGAACTCGAACCGTGATTCTTCGGGCTGGGACTTCAAACCCTTACCATTGAGCTACACGATCGACAGTTATCACCTTGTGCAAATCGCTCAATCAATTTTTAGAGTATCAAGCTTGGATAAACCTATTTGATTGTTAAGAGGCACCAGGCACTCTTGATGGTCTCTCTCTGATGGTACTCTGAAAATTGATTGAGCCATTCGCACAAGGCGATGATTGTCGACCGTGTAGCTCAATGGTAAGGGTTTGAAGTCCCAAACCGAAAGTTCGCTGTTTGAATCCTGACAGGTGCACAAAACGCATGCACTACTGATGAGTCCCAAACAGGACGAAACAGCTGTCCAGTGCTCTTTGTCGGTTATCACAAACATTTCTATCGCATATAAATGCATGAACTTGAGGGGAATTACCGATCTCCCAAGGAGTGAAACCCACATCCAAGAAATCAAGAGTGTCTGGTACCCCTGAGCAATCGCATGAGCTAATCCAAGTTTGCTGCTCTAAAAATGAGTGAGATATTTTCACCTGGCAACAACTATCTCCGTTCTGGTTTATCAATCAAACAAATGTGATGAATAAACGGAATCGGATAGTTTGAATACAAACACTGCGACCCAGTTCCCGCATATGATGAAATGATCATTTGTTAGTTTATGCGTATATACACGCTTGGACGCGCGGAGCTGTCATGAGTGGTTTCAAGTTCTATCGAAGCCTATAATATTTTCATAACCGGATTACAAGTAAAACGTTACAGGATCAATCGATAAACAAGTTCAGTTTCACTGCTCACTTCGTAGTCCTTCACAACCTAATTTGAACCAGCGACGTAACAGAAATTCCGATTTGTCACTGCCATCCACAAGGCCGACAATAAGGTCCGGCAGCAATTCTGGTGCCCTCTCAACAAAATGTTGCCAAACAGCCGGACGTGCAGGCAGCCCATCGACGATCCAGTTACCTCGGCTGGTGAATGCCGAAAAGGAATGGGAAGCATGTGATCATAGCTAGATAAAATGGTAGCAAATAGCAATTGTGAACCGACAGGGAACGAGGTCATAAAATGTAGTTGTAGTGAGATGAAGTGAATAGAACCTTCATTGCCGGATTCGGTCATGTGCACCGCCTCATGTGGTTTTGGGGCTAATTTCGTCTTCATACCGGATATGGGATTCTCAATGATTGCATAATTGTATGAGTGTAATGGAGGATTTGATTCAATGTCATCGAAGGAATTCATCGTGTATGGAGTAAATCAAGCGTAAACTGATAGGTTAGGATGCGCTGTACAGCTGTTTCGACCTGGTTGGGTCTCATCAGCAGTGCGATAGGTTGTGCTACATCGTGTAAATGGAAAATGAAGAACGGTCTGATCAGCTGCACGGTGGCCCAATTGGTAGGATGCTTGAGTTCTGCATGTGAGGTCCCGGGTTCGATCTCCAGTAGGGTCGATGGACTGGTATTGCAAATGAGAACCACCCAGGTCGAAACAGCTGTCCAGTGCTTCCTAACTTTTCAGTTCACGCTTCATTTGCGATACACATAAGGGATTCCCTCTTTGAAAGGTCATTCGATTGAGATATGGGGTGTTAGGGGGTGGGACAGGGGAGCTTAAGCGCCTGCACAAATTGTTTTTGGGCACACAGAGTGGGTTAGTGCAGATGAATTCATACCGCTTCAGCTGTGGTTCGCACACGACATCTAACCTGCCTTGATAGTCCACCACGAACCTGATACAAGGGACGGAATGCCTCGGTCACATTCACAGTGTGATTTGTTTCAACCAGATGTAAAACCACTGCATTATTGAGTGGCCTAATCATTCCTTTATTTAGCTATTCGGGGTGGTGCTCACGGATTCGTTCAGACAAACGCCTAACCGGGCAGCCTATGTACTTTTTCGTCCTCTAGTCTCAAGCACGCAATTTGCTGGGACCTGAACAAAACATTGAGCTTTGCTCAATGAGAATCCCAAATGTGGCCTGAAGATTAAACTAACCCCAGAAAACCTACAATGTTAATTTTCCCTTTCCAAAAAGAATTGTTTGGCTTTTATGGTAGACTACTGATACATATTATAAACATCGTGATATTTATTGTGATGAATTGGTATGACTACGAATCACTGAAAACAAGCTTATTCGCCACTCATTGTTTTAATTGAAATATACTCTGTGGGACTGTTTAGACTATAAAGACGACATTTTATATGGATCGGAAATAGTGAAGCTCTTGAACACTTACTCATATATTCATCTTTTTAATGTTCCTAAACCTGTCCTTTGTGTAACTCTGTCAGCTTAAGAGCGGAGTGTGGCAATGCGAAATGACTCTCAGTTATAGAAATTGAAAATTCGAAACATAAGCTCCCAAGATTTTTCGAAAACACTGTTTGAATAATCAACCGCAAACAACAGCGAACTTTGAAATGAAAATGGAGCTGTTCGAATGGAAACGATGTGCAGAAATTATGATATCAATAGAGAGTAATATACCTTCCCCTCATCAATAAACATGCATTACAAAAATGGGTTTCAAAGACAAAGATTAAAATTCATCATTGATGCCATAAAACATTTCCTGATGCGTTTTGTGACCTGGATTTAGAGCTTATTTCGCTGGAACCTGTCATTATCAAGCACAAACCACAGTTTGCCTGATATGGAAAAATATGGGCTTCAGAAGAACCACATCAATGTTTGATTCTTGTTAGGAATTTTCATCAGAGATTATCCAGTGGATTCACGAGCGATTCGAACCCGGACATGGAGGTTTGTTTTTGGACCCATCAATCAATCAATAGTCTATCTGTAATGGTGTAGTGTGAAACCGAAACTGACTGACGCGCGCCCTTCGATTGGCTGTGCTACACTCTCGTGCTTGTTCGTTACGTTGGAATTCGTCGTTTGCCTCGTCCATATACCGGTGCTAATCATGTCTAGAATCTATAAATATTCTCCTCAGGACACTAAAAATTGTGAATTCTGCGCCACCCGCTGATTGTTTGCTTGGTGTGAGTCATAAAAGTCCTTGGATCAAAAAACGCAGACGGACCGGATGGCAGACTGCACTTACTTGCACCCCTCCTGCCAAGATGACTGTGCCATCATTGGTCAGCACTAACGTTCGTTCACTATTCACAAAGATCTCGGATTTATCCTCTATTCTGAACACACGCATTAATTCCAACATATGTGTTGTTTGTGTGCAAGAAACCTGGCTGAATCAAAACATCGAGGACGTTCTCGTGCGAATAGAAGGGTTTGATTGCTA